GACTAGAGTTGATATTATATCACTTAGATGTTTTGAAATCCAAATCGAAGTAGGATTATTTTTTTTGCTGTCTTTTTGTTCCCCCCCTCCAATTTAAACGAACTCTTAAAAACAACTTCTATACGGCTGGGAAAGCGGTCCAAAGTTGAACCGAAACCTCATGTAGCGTCTGATATATCCCTCGCTTGCACATTGACAGTCGCAAAATAAAATCTGAAAAGCTTTCTGTTATTAATTCCAGTTCTCTCACGACGAGCGACAGGCAAAGAATGATTTTCAGATTACTCCTGGTTAAATTAAAAAACAATTTCTTTGGAGATTTCTTATAATTTATTTATGACGAGAACTTAATTTACTGTTGAATAACGTTGTTATATCTTTTCTTTATTATACACCAAAAGTTTTGAGTAAACCTTGGAAAGTTGAATAACAAAGAGCCAGTGGGAGATGATAACACTAACAATGGAAAGTGCAATTTCATTCTTATTATTTTCTTTCAGCGTCTTATATCAAACCTACAGGACGCATTCGTAATCTAAAAGCCCTTACAAAATGAATAACAATGGTATTTACTATTTTTTGATATCTGTTTTCGTTGCCAGGGCAAGATATTCAACAAAAAATAGAATGATTACGAACTGATGACGGGGACCTAGTGAAAAGTTAAATAGTCAAGGGATCGACAGGGTAAACTGGGTTACCTGGGTTGGACAAAGCCTGAGTCTCAAAGAACCTAAAGATAGTGATAGAGCTATACCTACTGAAAGCCATTTTGGATAAAAAGTTTATGTCATAAAATCAAAATCATCGAAAACATCCATCTTGCCTGAAACCTAAAATTCCAACTCCCTCGTATTCCTCGAGTTTTAGCAACGTAAATATGTTGTCCTTTATAAAGTCAGTGAAATTCACGTTGGAATTTTATAGTAGCGAGTCGCTTAGTTACAAACTTATCTTAATAATTTCCTATATGTGATTTCACCGATGTTTTTAAATCAATGGACATTTTCTAAAAGAAAATTATACCTAACGAGTTACCATAGCTCACCATGCTTAACCATGGCTTCCTATATACACTCAATTGAGGAATTGTTGTCTGGTACAGGAACATAGAACATAGAAGCTGAGACCGAAATGGCACATGGGAAGTACGTTAATTAGATGCATGCTGTGACCGGCGACCCGTGGCATCATCCACTGTTTTTAATACGCGTTTGGCATTCTAAACCGACTGCGTGGATGGCGCAAATGAATAAATTATAATATAATTATGTCATTTCCCATGTGCCATTTCGGTCTCAGCTTCCGCTATGTTCTATGTCTCTGTATGCTTCGCTACGCTTAACCGTACTTCACCATGCTTAACCATGATTTCCTACGCCTCTATACTTAACCATTTTATTGCAGATTCATTTATACAGGGTTAGCCTCGAATCGGTTTCTAAATATTCACAAATACCAACAGAGTAAAGAATGCACAACTTCAAAAATACAAACACTTTGAAACTCCACGCACCAATGAAACTCATGAATACTGATTCAAAACAATTCCATACGCATTCGAGGGTAACCCTCTACGAAAATCGGTGGTGAATACTCCAAGACTGGCGTCTCAATACATATTCCCCGATATTCACTTGGTGAGAGGTCCCTGGGGGCTAGGTTGGGTAAAAATTAAAAAGTAAATATTGAGAGTTTGGGCTACCTGTGGAAGGACATATTCTACTGAGCCCGTGATAAGAATGTGCAGCTGTTATCCCATCGAGATCATTTTCCCGCCAAAAATAAAAGCTTCAGGAAGAAAAGTCGAAGCAGCAAATATTCCCCGATTCCTTTGATTATTCTTCTTTTAAAATGGGAAACGAAGCATCAGTCCAGGTTACTTATGGTACAAAGCTCCTAAACAATGCCAAATTCGAGTGGACTAAAGTAAAAGATGGCTGCTTTCCCCCTCGGGATGGACATTGTTCGGCTAGTGTGGGGAATAAAGTGTATGTGTTTGGTGGTGTCCGTTGGAATCAAGACATTAGTGAAGTCTCTGAAGTCAATGAAACTCTGGTTTTTTGTACTGGTAAGTGAGAATGATATTTTAAGCTTTTCATATTTAATTCTGTAGCAGACTTTGCCGTCGGGAATCTTTAGATTAGTTCATTTTATACGAATCTAAAATCTCTCTCTCTCTTTTTTTTTTTGTTGTACCTTTTTCATATTCTTTTTTTTAAACAAACAAATACCATCAAACTTTTGAATAAAAATGAACAATTTAAATACTTATTAAATTAACAACTTAGATGCAAACTCGTACAATAACTTGTACCATTAAGACATGTTGCATTGCTACGTCAAACAGTTTATAAACACGATGTGCACGCATCCCTGTAAGCAAAACTATTCACAAACTGTATCAATTTATATGTAAAAAAACTTCTTAATTAATGGATGTTTGAACTCAATGGAGAAATATTAGTGCTTGGCATCTGCGCACATTCCTGTAGGCAAATGAATTTCGTTAAAATGTAAACATTGGCAACTGGTATGTTCTCGACTTTCACATCCCCATAATGCCTTCCGTTCTGGGGGGTTACCAATCAAAAAACTGTCCCAAATTGAAAGGTTTCTTAATTGAATTTATACTATACCTGCTTTTATCTGTACAGTACTGATTATCAGTTTATTCCAAGTTATTTTTGCATATACAGATCATGAAGAGTTTTGGTCTTACAGAAAATGTATTGACTTACGAAAAAATGTTTAAAATTTACCTTAAACGTCTTCAAGCTTCTATCTTTTTCTGTTTTTTACTTCTTCATTTTATYTTTGGATACCAAACAAGGTATTTTCAACATTGTCTGATCAGCCTTCAGCAAAATAAGTGGGTTTTTACCCTCTGGTTATCCCTCAAAGATGCAAAGGATTATGGGGATATGAAAGTTGAGAATAGAGTTGTTTTTTTGTAAACAAGCAAATGGCATCAAGCTATTCAAAGAAAAGCTAGCATAAGAGTGGTATTGTATTATAATATCATTCCAAAACCCATCTACAGTAATGAACTCAAATATATGATTATTTTTGAATTTTTTCCCCATACAATTTTGTAAAAACAATGAAAAAGATAGATAGGCAGTAAAGCACTTGCCTCTAACCTCAGGGTGACCCAGGTTTGTTTCCTGGACTGCTATAACAATTAAGGAGAGTTTTTTAGGTCTCTTCCTTGATTCAAGGGTTTTTCCAGGTATAATTCAATCTGTGAGTTAGCCATACCCTGACTTTGGTCAGCCCAGAGGTTGTTTTAGGTGTTTGGTTCAATATTTGAGTTAGCCATGCCCTGACTTTGGTCAGGTCAGAAATTGTTTCAGGGTTCAATCTGTGAGTTAGACATGCCATAGCTTAGATCAGCCCAGAGGTTGTTTCAGGGTTGGGTCTGTGAGTTAGACATGTCCTGACTTAGATCAACACAGAGGTTGTTTCAGGGTTCGATCTGTGAGTTAGCCGTGCCATGACATAGATCAGCCCAGAGGTTGTTTCAGGGTTCAATCTGTGAGTTAGCCGTGCCCTGACTTAGATAAGCCCAGAGGTTGTTTCAGGGTTCAATCTGTAAGTTAGCCGTGCCATGACTTAGATAAGCCCAGAGGTTGTTTCAGGGTTCAATCTGTGAGTTAGCCATGCCCTGACTTAGATAAGCCCAGAGTTTGTTTCAGGGTTCAATCTGTGAGTTAGCCGTGCCATGACTTAGATCAGCCCAGAGGTTGTTTCAGGGTTCAATCTGCGAGTTAGCCATGCCCTGACTTAGATCAGCCCAGAGGTTGTTTCAGGGTTCAATCTGTGAGTTAGCCGTGCCCTGACTTAGATAAGCCCAGAGGTTGTTTCAGGGTTCAATCTGTGAGTTAGCCATGCCCTGACTTAGATCAGCCCAGAGGTTGTTTCAGGGTTCAGTCTGTGAGTTAGCCGTGCCCTGACTTAGATCAGCCCAGAGATTGTTTCAAGTGATCAATATTGAAGTAAAATGTTCTTTAAAGGAAGGACAGCTGGCAAACATTACATGTAGACCAAAGCTTAAAAAGGTTTGCTGATTGTCCAAGTATTTTTGTTACAGAAACTCAAACATGGAGTAGAGCTTCAGTAGGAGGAAAAGTACCCACACCAAGATCTTCAGCGTCAATGACTTCAATAGGGAACAAACTATATATGTTTGGTGGACTCAGCAGAGATAGTGGATGGTTGAATGATCTGTATGTTCTGGATACAGGTATCAAAATAGTACTCTCAGGTCTCCCCTTTATCTGGGTTCTCCATCTTTTTATACCTTATTTAAGCCTTACTTAGGAGCCATTCGTAATTCATGGGTTGAAGGGGGTAAATGTGTGTGGATTTTAAGGAGGACACCCATTTTTTAAATTAAAATTTTGGTGGGGACGGGGTGGGGGGGCTTTCAAATACAGTGTTCTTCATTTTAGATTTATGTCCATTAATATCCTTATTCTGAAGGGGGGATTTGATATCATTATTAAATTTATTTTTGAAATACTCAGTCTCAATTGCTTGCAAATATCTTCTTTTCTTTTATTAAGGTTGATTGTATAGTAAAAATGTACGTACTGTACATAATGACACATATTTTAACATACAACTGCGGCTTTAACTGAGCAAAGAGAACTTGAAGCTGGAGTATTGATTGCAGCTTTAGTATAATCTTTGGTTAAATTGGTTAACAATATAAATGCAAATCAATTGATTGATTGCTGGTACACGAGTAAAGTTTTGAAAGTTCTTGTAATTGCACAAGCCTTTAGTTTTTACGGCTTTTTTTTTGCCGCTGTTGACATTGTTTTGGCCGTGTTTCCATAGCAACTTAATTCGGTATTCCTACGGAGTACAATTAATGCTATAATTGTACTCTTCTCAACCAATCAGAGTCGAGTAATTTTGTTGAGTGTACTATAATACAAGTTATTCATGGAATTTTTAAATCTTTAAATTCTAGATACTATGAATTGGGATTTGGTGCAAGCAGAGGGGAACTACCCCTCCCCTAGAGATAAGCTATCAGCTGGGACTATGGGAAAGAAAATGGTGTTATTTGGAGGATTTGGACCAAAGGTTGGCACTTGTAATGAAGGAGAAGCAGAATTTGAATGGTTCAATGATTTCTATTTATTTGACCCTGGTGAGTAGAAGAAAAAAAGATATGCTACAATACTGTAGGTCCCTGGGGGGGGGGGGGTACTGCCCTATATTCGCCAAACGGGTACATGCCGCCAAACAGGGTATGCTTTTCAGCGATTCTACTCTGKAACAGGGTATATAAAATYGCGCTCGCTCTGRAACAGGGTATATGAAATCACGCTCTCTCCTCTCTGGAACAGGGTTTTCAGCGATCTTGCTCTGGAACAGGGTATGAATTTCAGCAATTTTTACTCTGGAACAGGGTCAGGGTTCAGAGGGCTCAGCGGCACATCCATACCCTAAACGGGCAAGAGTACCCCCCCCCCCCGGGTGTAGGTTTACTCGTAATAAATTGAATGTTACCTTATAGTCTGACAAAACAAGTATTCTATTAAAGGTGGAGTAGCCCTATTTGAATATGAGAAGATAAATTCATATTTCACAGGTGGCGTAGCGGTGAGAGCGCTTGCCTCTCACCAATGCGACCCAGGTTCGAGTCCCGCTGAGCTCGGTATCGTATGTGAGTAGAGTTGTTTGTTGGTTCTCTCATGTGCTTTGAGGGTTTTCCGGGTTCTCCAGCTTTCCTCCCTCCACAAAAATTGGAATTACAGTGAATGAATAGCTACTCTGTAGAAATGCCACTGTTAAATCCCATTTATTTATTTATTATTATTGTATTTATATTTGCCAATATATTATCTGTTAGAAATATCAGGCATTTAGGTAAAATAAATTTATTATATGATATGTAAAAAAAAAATTTAATCTGATTGCTTTAAAATTATTATACAGTAATTTTATTTCTCAGCAGAAATCCCTGTGAAATACTGTGGTTTATACCATAAATTAGATTTCTTCCTTTGAACATCAATATCATATGAATCGTTTTTAGTACATGATGGGACCTGGCCAAACATTGGGAAATTGTTGTGGAATTATTGTGATGGACATGTTACAATATTACTGTACTGATGTTTTTGTCATTCATTAGAAACAAACATATGGAAGAAACTGATGCCTAGTTTGGAGGGCAGTCCAACTCCGCGCGCTGCTCATAGTATGTGCATAGCAGGTACCAAGATTGTCATATTTGGTGGAAGGGATAGTGTTTCCCGTAGACATGACATCTATATATTGGATACAGGTAATGGCTACTAAGTAGTATATTTGTTATCAGTATTTTTACACAAATAAATATAATAAATGTGGTGCGTGGTCATTGGTCAAAATTTACTATGAGCCGTTTCGGCGACAAAACAAAACTTTTTCTCCGTTGTTTATTAAATTCACTTGTTTTAAGAATACTGAATATCGGGGAATATTTACCTCATGTCTTGGTATATATTCCAATCATTTTGCCTTAACTGCTTGGTTCAAGGTGCAGGATCATTTCAACTTTTTCTTGCTAATATCTCATTGATGCTAACTGAACAACATCGATATTCCATTCACCCTATTTTTTTTCCTTTTTTTAGAGTCAATGGCATGGGAATCAGTTGAAACAAAGGGTAGACAGCCAGAACCAAGGTCATTCCATGCCTGTACCCTTGTTGGTAATCGGATGGTTGTCTTTGGAGGAAGAGGAATGGCTGACCAACACTTCAATGATTTGCATATATTTGATATAGGTATTTACATTTATACTCACTATTGCTGTAGACCTATTCCGAATTCGAAAAATGCCTCTGTGTTCCTTGATTACAGACTCATGTATGTCAAGGTTAGCTAAATGAGAGAGTGCCAGTGGAGGTACCCAATTGTTAGTTATTAACTACTAATGTTTCGGTCGAATGCCTCAGTTAACTGTAATAATTTTACAAGCACTTGCCATAATATTAACCAAAATAATGAAATATAACAGTTATCTGTTAACTACTAATTTTAGGTTATTTGTCAGTTAACTACAGTAAAGGTTAGCATCAAAAGTAAAGAATGTGAAACTTTAATAATACAAACCCTTTAAAATGCTACAGAACTGTAGAAGGGATTCTGGTAGTTGTCATTAAGCAATCGGTAATTATTTAAGTTGGGGGGGGCATTAGGGGATTGGTCATTATTTAAGTCAGGGGGGGTGGAGGAGAAAACTCAAAGTTTTTTTAGTGGAACATGGGGGGCCTTGAAAGGTCAAAAGGAGGATTGGGTGGATTAGGAGGATTGGGGGTCTGGAACATTTTTCTAAAGGCTTTAAAGAATTGCATTGAATTTTCTTTTGAACTGGCAAATAAAAAATGTAAAGTCCTCCTCCCCCCATTTTGTATATGACAGTATTTCAGAACCCTACGTATTCTTGCCCATTTAGGGTAGGGATGTGCTGCTGAGCCCACTGAACCCTGACCCTGTTCCAGAGTAAAATCTGAAATTCATTGAGAGTGTGATTTCATATACCCTGTCCAAGAGCGAGCGTGATTTTTTATCCCCTGTTCCAGAGTAGAATCACTGAAAACCATACCTTGTTTGGAGGCACATACCTGTATAGCAAATATAGGGGAGTACCCCCCCCCCCCCACCCTCGTGGGACCCAATTTACCGCTGGAATACAGTATTGGTCGGAGCCCCCACCCTCAATATCTTCATCCACCAGCCACCTACACCCCCACACATACAACTTTATAATTCATTTGTTTTATTTGAAAGATAAGAGAGAATGGTTACAGCCTGCTGTATCAGGAGATGTCCCTACACCAAGAGGATCACATTCTTTAGATATGGTTGATAGTTCTGTTGTTTTGTATGGCGGCTCGTCAGATTTTGACCCAGAAACCATGCAGTTACAGCAGTATCATGGTGATACATTTGTTATACCATCAGGTAGGTTTTATTTCATTCCAGATTACCTAGTACATTATAATTTAATTTAATTTTAACTATAATAATGTGAACTGATTGTATTCATGTACAAATAAAGTTTTGTTTAACCTTTACCTTCTTAGAAGAATCGTATTGTAGAATTGCAATCTCAGTACGATTATTTATTTATACATATTTTTATATTATTTATTTATATTTTGTAAATTAATAGACCCCATTGTTCGTGGTGTGACAGTGTTTTTTCAATTCAGCATGACAACCCTCCAGAGGATTCATTTTCTCTTGCCCTTACTCTTCAAAAATTTTAGTATCCCAAAGGTTACGAAAGGAATAACAATGGGTGACAGGGGTGCTTGCCTCTCACCACTGCGGTCCGGGTTTGAGTACTGGCTCAGACTAGATCATACAGTATGTTGAGGAGTTTGTTTGATGTGTTTTTCTCACCCTTGCCACGAGGGTTTTCTCCAGTATCTCCGATTTCCTCCCTCTGTAAAAAGCAACATGTGGGTTGAGTGTTGTATGTTGTAAATATAGAATGTAGTGGTAGTGCACGGAGCCCATCATATATACGATGAGATGCAAGATATCAAATGAGATGCAGAATGTAAAACACGCTTAAATACGATAATACCAATTAATAAGTTACTACTCTAAACCTGTACAAATGAGTCTGTAGTCAAGGAACACAGCGGTATTCACCAAAAAGGACTATAGAGTTTTTGCATCATCATGTGTCGGCATCCATAGTACAGCTTGGACTGCCTGTGGTTAGACGGCAGAACAATAAAACTCCTTGGCACTTGGGAATTGAATTCTTTGTTATGTAAAACGATTGTATTGTTCCTGCCATCTAACATGGCTGCCGTCATTTGATTGTGCAAAACCTCTATTCAGCTTGGGTGTAGTGGTTTCCCATCTCAGATCACGTGTCATTCCCTTTTGCATGATTACAGTATTTCAGTTTATTTTATTTTATTTTTTTCTGAATGTGATTTTTGTTTGTCTTTCTAGGACAACTTCTCGAAGGAGAATCTCTCGGTCCGGACCCTAATGATGTTCCAAACAACCAAGTGAATATAGCTCCTCAAGCAGTTAACGGGTTGGCTGCATGCACGACCATAGCAGAGACAGATGAACTTGAAAGTGAGGATGAAGAAAGTAGTGAAGATAATTAGTTTGTTTTACATTATTATTATTTACTGCGAAATACCTTGCATCGTGACCCTCAGTTTTTGGAGTCAAACTTTCGTTAGGTTTACACTCACCCAATCGGATACATGAAATTTTAGTCAGTTTCGCAACTCAAGTATGAAAATCAGGTCGCTATGTAAAAAAAATCTGTAAAGTATCATTCTTATGTGTGTGATATGTAGATGTATTTATTGTGAATTTATAGAGTTTAAAGTGAAAATAATTTACGTTCGTTTGAGCGTAGCGAATTAGAACGTAATGATATTTACAGCGTAACGATTCTAACCACATGAAAGCCTTTTTCCAGCAAATCACATGCGGAGTCTAGAAATATAGTACTTCCAGGTTATTAGGTTCGATATAAGTGTGATTGACAGACGTGAATAAAACCCATATCAGTGATGTTACTTCACGGCAAGAGAATATTAAGTATTACTTCATATTCTCTTGTTCACGGTAAACTGCAAATTTTGTTATTTTAACGACCTTAAATACACTTAATTGAAGAATCATTGTCGGGTTCAGAAACATAGAACATAGAAGCTGAGACCGAAATGGCACATGGGAAGTACGTTAATTAGTGCATGCTGTGACCGGCGACCCGTGGCATCTGATCCACTGTTTTTAATACGCGTTTGGCATTCTAAACCGACTGCATGGATGGCGCAAATGAATAAATTATAATGTAATTATGTCATTTCCCTTGTGCCATTTCGGTCTCAGCTTCTATGTTCTATGTTTTTGAACCCGACAACGATTCTTCAATTGAGTGTATGTAGTAAACAAATTATTACACGTTTAAGAGCATATCTTTTTTATTCACTCGTTTTCCATACCATAATAATCTCTCGCTCGTCACACACAAAGCAATGATCTAGTCGAGATGGCAAGGCTACATTGAAGCCTCGATTCAATGCTTTTTGTGTAACGTATCTTATGCGCAACTATTCAATATAGAAATGATACTTGGAAAGGACACGTGAGAAAGTAAATACGAAACTTATTAAGTGATTATGGTGGTTACATATGAGTATCTAGTTCAACAATGAACATCGAAAGAGTAGGTTAAGCCTCATTGTAATACAAGAATTTATAATTGGGCGAGGGGGGAATGGCGTTCTGAAGTTTATCTCACCCAGAACAGTAGTTATGGATTTTTCAGCCAACTTAAGGTTAGAGCTAGACTTTTGCAAAGTCCTTTCGTCTCGGTATTAGTTCACTCGCACAAATAAAGCACAGGCAGCCCAACAAAAAACTGTTGCTTTAAAACTTGTAATGCACATCAACTGGACTATTATTTTACATTGATATTCAATAAATAGAGGATATTAAATGGGCGCGCGGAGATACGAAATTTATCTTCGAGTGTTGAAAAGATCTCTCACGAGTGAGCGTAGCGAACGAGTGAGAGATTTTCAACACGAGAAGATAAATTGCGTATCTCCAAGCGCCAATGTAATATTCTGTTTATTATATAATTATCAATGAAGTATGTTTTGGCTTTTTCAGGCAATTCTTTCCGTGTATTTTTAAATAGCCATCGCAATGGTGTTATTTTCACACGTGAAAATAACATGTTATTTTCACGTGTGAATATATCAATTTTTCGAAATAGAGAAAAATAGATACTTCATAGGTAATTATATAATAATACCGTATAATTATACAGCTTCTCATTAATCCCATATAGGTAACTGTCCAATTATTTTCTTAATTGGACAGGTATTGTTGATATGGGATTAATTAGGCAGCTATATAGTTAATAGGTAATGGGATTTCATGCACCCCAATCAAGAAATAATTAGACTCGAAAAATTCCTCTGACTGCCAAATTGGACTCGGCCTACGGGCTCGTCCAATTTTGTCAGTCCTCGGAATTTTCCTCGTCCAATTATTTCTTAATTGGACAGCATGGAGTCCTATTAAATATACTAATACTGAGGGGAGAAATAAATATTAGGTTTGTAAAGGGGGACTAACAAAAAACTGTTGCTTTAAAACTCGTAATGCACTTCAACTGGACTATTATTTTTAATACAATAATTCAATAATAACGTATAATACTGAGGGGAGAAATAAATATTAGGTTTGTAAAGGGGGACTAACAAAAAACTTGCTTTAAAACTCAGAATACACATCAGCTACCTCCCTCCACCTCCCCTCAATGCGGAATTATTTTCGGAGTTTGTTGTTAACTACATGACGAGACAAAGAAAAACACCTGATGAAAACTAATCTTCCTCTAGTTCGACGGAAAGTCCTGCTTGGGACAAATATAACTGTGGCTCTCCAAAATTATGTTGGAGGTTCTGCTGCCTTTTATGGCCTTTACTTGACGTGTCTACCCCGGCCATCTCGTTCGATGCTTCGTTCAAAGTCAAAAACAGGAACAAACAGCATGACAATGAGCAGCGTGGGTTTCGTCTGATAGCCAAAAAGGTTTGTCCCAGAGTTATTAGGTAACGTGCTAAAAACAAAACAGCAGTGAGGTTAGAAATGAAGTTCCCAATAATATTTTGTACACATCAGACAAGCATGAAAAGGAACTTGAGAACTTGTCTCGAGGGTATTTTATACTAGTATCATATATGAGGTAGAAGTGAAAGCTTTATCTTACTTCGGTGGTTCCTTCATCTCGTACATTTAATAGTTAAAACTATTCTTCCAGGCTCAACTTCGCATGCTCCCCCGTTCACCCGTCTTTCCGCTATCGCTCAATTTTTAGAAACTTTAAAGAGTATGAGAGCACTGGAGATAATCTTACTACGAATTCTTTTGCTTTGCTGGCAGCGTATACATATCAATTGACACCGGGTGCTCCTTTAAACTATACTTGGACGGGTATCTTTGATCAATTAGCCTTTCCTCCCTAAACTCCTATCAAATCTACTTTCCTTTCTGCTCGAGACTTCTTTCTTCCACTTTGCAAAACAAGCGCCATCTTTACACATACCAGCCATTATAGCCACGACCGCTGCATTGGCTCCAATCAACAGAACCTTGATTACCGCGCCGTCCAAAGCTTCTCCAGTCGCAGATGAGCCTTCATTTTGTGTGACGAGTAATATTCCAACGATCATATTAACCAGCGTTGCCAAAAGAGAAGTCAACTGTAACCAGTGTTCAAACACATCTGTCATGGGCTTAAAATACGCAAAAGAGATGGAATATGAACCAGATATTATAGCAGTGATGCCAATGGTAAAACGACTGCCTGCGTCAAGCAGAAGAATGACTGACGTAAGGATGACTTTACGTACCAACTCAATGATCTCCCAAAACCACACTTGTTCTGCATAGTTCTCATACATAAACCTTAATCCAAGAGCTATACCCAGTGCTTCCTTTCTTCTTTTCGTTGGGTCGGTCTTCTTATAATAGTGCTTCCAAAGAAGATACAAAACCAGCAATGGAAAACCTACTGGATATACCAAAAGAACTCGAGCAAAGATGCTGAACCAGAAGAACCTTTGGCTTTCACAGCGCACAGTGTAATCGGATTTCAGGTAATAGCTGCAACTTTTATCTTCTGTAGATGTACAGATTTCCTGACACGCCTCTGGAAGAACCATAAAAATGTGGCTGCTGGTCAGCGGGTATGAGATGAATAGGATTAGGAAAATGGCGCGAAAACATTGCTGTTGAGCCGAACATTTGACATTTTCGTTCCCCTCGCCATTTCTTGACTTGCTTCTGGTTTTAATGTAGTAATATAGTAATCCCAAGAATACGACTGTGCTGTTAAATGCCAGGATAAGCATCAACTTGACGTGGATGTCTGTTTTCAGCGATCGGGTCAGACATTGTGGAGGAGCAATTTGTAGCAGATTCATCTGTAAAAGTTCAGCATATTTAATCGCTGAGATCATAACATCAGGCCATTTGATGAACGAAAAACCTGATATTGTTCCTGAAGTGACTTGGAAGAATCCAATGACAATCTTCAGCCGTGCTGTCATGGCGTCGGATAAAGATCTTTTGTTGGACTTGCTTTTCTTTTCTTTAATCATGAATATAAGAAGACCAGTTATTATGACAGTGATGAGAACAACCTGTGCTATAATCCATGGTAAGGACGGGCATTTACGACATGTCGATGCCAGCATGTAGAACCCCTTGCTACAGACAGCACAGAGGGGCCCTTCGTAGCCAAGAGAGCATTCAGAGTCTAGACCACCCTTGCATGCTTCGGCAACTGGACATGCATATGCTTTCGGGATCCCCAACAAATAAGAAGTCATACTTTTATTGTAGGTTTTATTCCTAACTTGTATCTCTGCTGAGAAGTTAGTATAGCGGTATTTTGCATCTGTGGAGTTCCACTTCCAGTAGAAACCAGACAATAGACTGACTGACTCGTTAACACAGTTGTATCCTTCGTCACATGGCATACACTTCTGAAAGCGATGGACGCGATAATGATCGTCCAGGCATGAACAAGCTCTGAACAAGGCGGGGAGATTACGATGTGTTCCTGAAAAGAAGTTTGTATCATCATTACCATTATCTTTATTTAATATGAATTATTTGGAATCATGGAAATAAGTATATGTAGAAAAGGTCGATTTTTAGGCATGGTATTATGAAGTAAAAAAGTGTCTAAAAATAAGTAGCAGGCGCCGAGTAGGATGAATCAGACCTGACTTACACCTGATGCAATAGGTGTATAATAGAATAATTCAATTAAATATTAATGGACCGTCCTTCGCGGATTTGCAAGATCTGATCCTATTGGAGGGCACACATGTGTAGAACAATAGAAAACAATGACCTTTCCCCAACCCCGCCCCTAAACCTAACCAATCACAGGGGACGTTGCAAATTCGTAAAGCTTAACGCATATTGATATAATCACGGTTGATTTTTCGTTTACCTTCTGGACAAGCTTGACATTCAGCTCGATCCTTTCCTGGAGCTTGTTCTTCTGTAACGAATGATCCTGGTGGACACTGCTTACACCCTAATCCGTGAGACAGAATCTTGTACTGAGCTTCTTCATCTTGGTAGAAACCGCCTGAAAATGAACCAGATTGACCTTTGAATAACTATTTTATTAAATCTATTTTCATTGTACTTAGTTAAGGAATAAGAAAAAGAGAATGTTTATATTCTGTGTGACGTTTGCAGGGCAGGAACAAAACGAAGATCGAAGACCCTAAGAACCAAACCCCACAAATTTAACAGAAACAGTGCTAAAAAAGTAGCGGATCTTCAATTCCAACTCAAAACAGAATACAAAAAAAGAAGATTTGAGATTAACATGGTCTTCGGCGGGGTCTTCGTTTTGTATAATACCCCAGGAAATATGCAAAACGAAGAACCCCCAAATTTACCCGAATCAGCGCTGAAAGA